ATTGTTTTCTTTCACAGCCCAGCTCATTAACTGAGCATTTGGGTGCTCTTCCAAAGAGGCTGAAAGGAAAAACCCTCCAGGAACTGCAGCAGAACAAACTCCCATCCAACAACAACAGATCCTGGCACGCAGCTCCAGAGGTCTGTACCAGGGCAAGGGCTCCAGCAGTTTGCAGTTCCCCATTTGAGTCTGGGCTTCAGCTGCAGCAGACCAAAAAACTTCATTATAGTGGGAGAGGCTGCAAAGACTAACCAAGAAATGCATCAGCTGGGAGTTCAGCTTCTATCTCTTTTTAGTACCGATCACAACTCCAGCAGAGATTAACACGAAGCTGGCAGGAGAAATTAGCTCCAAGCATAATAGCTCAGGAAGGGCTTACAGACAGAATATATCAGCAGAATCTATGCAGGCGTTATCTTGGTGAACTGCTCTTGTGTATTAAGAAGGCTGTCTGCCTGGGAAAATTGAAGGAACTGGGTTCTAGAAGAATCTCATGAACCAGTCTATGAAACGCCTCTACCTCTGAAATCTGCCACACAGAGACAAATTAAACGGAGGTGACTGAAGGCTGTCACCCTGCCCTCTGCCAGCCCTCCACCTGGTTCCTCCCCTTATGGAGCAAAAGCAGATAAGTGACATCCGTATTTGTTCCCAAACCATTGCAATTTCCAGCCTGGCATGGCTTTAAGCGTCCCAGCTATCAGACTGGGAGCTGCTGGGGCTGCACTGTAGCACTGTAACTTTTACTCATCCTGATTTAAACGGATGTCATGTCACGCTTCAACACTGCCAGTTGATATTTGACAGTGACTATGACTTCCAGGGTGGCTGGATGGCACTTCCTCACTAGAATAGCATGTGGAGAAATTGCAAAGTGCTGAGGCTCTGCTTAAGAGCTTGGGTGCAGCAAGAACCATCAGGATAAGAGGAAGGCTGAAGTGAGAACCCTGTACTCCTGCCAAGGAGAACTCGGGCATTTCTGATGTATCTTGCATCAAAATTGATAAATGTTTCTGCTTCTCTGACACACTGGCCTCTGGGGAAAAAGACTTCTCAATTAAATTAAGCCGAAGAAATATGGAGGTAACAGAAGAAACACATTAGTCTGGATGCCTGCCTCCTGTTTGTTCAGCCTGGTGCTTGGATGGGCACAGCACCAGTTGGCTGTTCCCTTAGGAAATGATTAAATAATCCAACATCTGGCTCCTTTCTGAGTGTTAATTTTGCTGAGGTCCAAGCTAGACCTTCCAAACAGACCTGAAATTTCTAGGCTTCGTAGAATCTTAAGTGCAAATTCCAGGGAAACCGACTTAGGCAAACCTTAAGGGAATTAAATGGAGTAACTTGGGGAATTGTGGCAGCAGGCTGTCTGTGGTGATGACAGGCTTTGACACTTACTCCTACCATGTCCTTGTACAACTCGCCACCCAAAATAGCAGCATTTTGCTAGGGCTGCTGACTGGCTGTGAAGTGCTGGACCGAGGGTAGCGCTGCTGGAGGAAGGTAACAGCTGACTGTTCCTCCTCTGGTCCCTGCGAGCTCTGTGGAAGCTGGGGAAGGGATGCAGGATGTGTTGCATGGGCTCCACATCTGTCCTCTTAACTTCACCGAGAGCCTTACCCGGCTAAGGGGAGAAATTGGCTATTCAGATGTTCACTAACAGGCAGAAGCAGTGTGCCTAGGGAAAGGGTGACCCCACTGAATCAGGGAGCTATTTGAGCCCTCGAGAAGGACTTTCACATACTTCACTTTGGCTGCCACTTGACTTCTGCTTAAAGAAAAATCTTGTATTGCACATAAGCTCCCTGGAGTGCTGAGGAGGCTCAGATATCTGCAGATGACTCCACTTCAGCAGAAAGGCAGCTCTGCCGGAATGCTGACTCCCAGTGCAGGAGCTGGAGCTGCCAGACGTGCAGCCCTGGCTGGCCTCGGGCAGCTGGAGATGGCAGATGTGGCATGTGGCTTCTCCCTGGGAGGTGGAGGAACAACCGCCCGCGCTGGGCGCTCGGAGCCAAGCAGGGAATTGGACTCATAAACAGCGACTTGACTTGCCCATCACAGCACAGGGTACTTCGTCAAGTAGCAAGCTAATTTCATCACCTCCCCTGCCAGGGCAAGAGGAGGTAGAGGGATTAGTTTGAACTCTGACAGTCGTATAATAACATGGCAGCCGTATGCAGCTAATAATCCACTGGGAGGATTAGCAAACTTAAAGTTGTCTAGCTCTGCATAATGGGAAGCTAAGAACAGCAGCTTCCCTGCTCTACCTATTGCATTTGCATTCCCTCCAGTGGAAGCATACAACATGATGAGACAAGGTTTTTCCAGTCTGTTATGAAATGGGAATCTAATGTGTGACTAATGGAGTATCGCTAGCAATTCTAGGAGCATCCATTCACTCGGGAATATGGGTTTAAGCTTTACTATGAGAGTGCACCTTAAATACCCACTGTAAAACAGCAGATTGAGATTTCGGCAGACTGATGTTAAGAGATGTCATTTGAGGCTCTCTGGGAGTGATGGTCCCTAAGCCTGTGAGCAGCCTGCTCTGCTAAGGCGTGGAGAAGGCCACTGAACTCCTCCCAGGTTCCCTGGCGTAATTCATATGCAACTGGTGAAAGATTGTACGAAAAACTGTATGAAACACAGGACAGTAAGATGCCAAGGAGTAGACTTGGCCACTGGAGTTGCTACTTTTCTTACCACCCTCTCTCTCTTCCCCCACTCTAAGGACAACTTGGAGTGTGAGGAAGCTCAAGGCTTTTTTTTTTTTTCCCCTGGGGCAAGCACTTTTAATCACGGACTGGAGACCAGAACCAGGCATAGTCGTAAGAAGGCAGTTTCAGAGCTTGTGTCAACTTACTAATGAGTAACTAGAGTAACCAGCTCTGTCAGAGCCTGGAAAAATACAGGGCTGGGACTCCTCATCCTCCTCCTCGGTCCCCTCCTGGAGCAGCAGAAGCCGTGAGTGAGAGCCTGCCCGTGCCATGGGCTGCCCTGTGCTCTGCTGGCTCCTCACCCCCTGCTCCAGCGATGGCTCCGGTGCCTCTCCCGTGTCGCAGGGCAGAGAGAGCTGCACAGGAAATGTTGTGCTGGGGCTTGTACCCTGAGACTTTTCCCTTCCGCTCCAGTGGAGAATCCCAGTGGAACACTGGCACGCACAAAGGATGAAAGCTCCAGCACAACGTGCCCCTGCCAGCGCTTGGCAAGGGCTGCGGGACCTTTCTCCCTCTTGCAGTGCAAACAGGCACTACCACTCACAATAAGATGGTCGCAAAATACTACTTTCCAGTGTCTTCCAGTGTCTCCTCCCAGTTGCAACTGGTGCCGCTGAGAGTTCATGGGAAAAAACTCCAGTATAGACAAGGCCTCTGCATGCAAATGAACGCTACATAAATAACCCCCATCTTTCCTCAGTTCCTAGGTTGTGTACTCTATGCACTAGAATTCTCTTCAAAGACCTCCCAGTTCATTCTTTATGCTCTAATTAAGGATCAGTGCCAATTAACTATCTTCAATAGAGGAGCATCTTCCGCTCAGCAGCCAGGAAGTGTCTGAATAAGATCCTGCTGTACAATACGCACATGAAAAGGGAAGCCCTCCCTTTTTGGAAAGGGTTTCCAAGCTTAAAACCCCGGTATAGAATACAGGATGCCTACTTTAAAAATATTGTGTGTTAAGATTAACTGATGGCATCCATGAATGCAGAGGGGCTTCTTATATGCCTCAGGTAGCACCCAAGCATGTTACTGCACCGCTGGGTCTCTGAGCTAGAAACCACCCTGGCAATAGCAGGTGTGAAAACAGAATGCCACGCTTTCTAGAAATTGCTATTGAAGTACTGTCTGTTTTTTCTTTCTTTTTTTTCAAAGATCAGCAGAAGTGCAGTGTCAAATCTGATATTGATTCAGATCAGAAATTCCCAATAGTTATGCCAGCATTAAAGTGCCCTCATAGTCCTCACCTATTGCCTTTGCTTCCTGTAGATGCTCACCTGTTCCATAAATAACCAGGCAATTTAGCCTGCTGCTGCTCCGTGTTCTGAGCAGAGCTGTGCTAATAGTCTGAGCAGGCAACGGCAGGGGAATGTCATTTCTGAGCTTGGCTGGAGATGAATACAGCAGCTCCCCAGCCAGTTACAGGCGAAGTTTAAAAAGCACTATTCTAAATGAAAATTAGATGGTTAAACACTGTGGGGGGAGGAGGGGAGAAATAGGATAATCCCTTCAAAGCTTTAAATGGAAGATTCTCAAACCTGCTTCAGCTGATGTGAGACACACGAACAGCCTCAGAATTAAGACCCCTGAAAAACTCCAGCCAGGCACAGCAGCTGCACTGTCTTTTGGGATAGATAGACTTGAACGGGTTACACACGAAGCAGATGTAAGTGAGCCACCCTGCTCATCACAGCTAAATCTGGTGGCCATTCACAGGCCGCTCTGAAGAATAATGGGCTTGAGGAGGAAGAAGGCAGACTTGCTGATGAGAAACAGGAACTGTAAAACTCTATTGGAGGAGGGGGGAAAGCAGCAAATTTTTCCACAAGCAGCAGAATCCACAAAGTCGGATGGGATTTACATCCATAACATCTCCCAGGCCACTGATATTTCTATCTATAATAACATAATGTATTTGCAACTGCCAATGAATTCAAGTGCTTTTGCAGAGCAGATTGTGTACATCTCATTTTTCACACACACACAAACCCAAATAGGCTAAATAAATCTTCTGGGTTCAAGGAGAATCCCCATACCTGCTCAGCAGAGACTAGGGGTTTATGTTTGGATTTTGCTTATTGATCCCTCTGCAAAGAGCAGGGGATGGGTCTATCATAATATGCCTTGGGAATTTCTGGAGAAGCTTGTTACAATCCTGATTGTGCTGAGATTTGAGCTCCAGATGGGAAGGATGGGGGGGAATGCAGAGCAGCGCACTACAACTAAGTCATTCCAGTGAATGTAACCTTTTATTCCGGGGGGGTTCAGCTCTTTTGAACTTACCCGAATCCTCCTCATGGCTGCCACAATCTCCACACGGCTGTTGGGCCTGGGTACGTCCAAGCTACCGATGTACTGAAAGACAGAACAGTGAGATGGCTGTAAAGTAATGCACAAGTTAATGGTGTTAGGCTTCTTCAAACAGCAGCTTTCATTAATTTAGTCCCTGCTTGGCTTGATTCTCTTGACCCAGGATGTGATAGGAATATCTGTTGTGGATAATATTATCAAAGTTAGGGAGAAGTTCATGGTTTCTAACATCGGGTATGAGCTTCTGACCTCATTCAGATTCCAGATGCGCCTTTACCCGTGCTTTGTGGAGCAGTGTCTGCTGCTAATCAAGTCCTGATCCCGTGGGTCTGAAAATGGGACTATCCATCCTTTGTCTTTCCTCACTACACCTGCTTTTAAAAGACTCACAGCTAAAAGCACGTTAAGAGTTGGAAAGTTGCCAGGACGTGCAGCAACTAGCTTTCCTGGAAAAGGTTCATGATTCTGCCCTAATTGTTGAGTTTGGACAACCCTTCCCTCTGGACACCGTCGTCTCTGCTTGGCTGGAGAATCCTGGTGAACCCACTCAAACCTGTGTCCTCCCCCAGCTGGTTTTAGCTGTGCTTACAGGACCTGCAGTCCCAAACAACCTGGCTGAGCTGGTGACAGTGACTGCCCTTGGCCCTGGGTGTCTGTTGGTTGCCTGTTCTCTCCTGTGTGAGGTCAGGATGCTGCTGACGCTGCGTGAGTTGTTAGGGGAGACCTACAGGCAGGTTACACTGGGTTGTGTCGCTCATGTGCCAAATCAGGCTGTGGTGGTCACCTGCTGCTGCATCCTGGGCAGTCACCTTGCATGTGGAGCAAAAGGCCATCAGTGCTGTGAAGCCGTGTGGCTCACAGCTCTGAGGAAAGGCTTGCAAGTCAAGGGCATGTTGGTGAGGGCAAGAAAAACACCATCTGAGCAAGAGGGTAATGGCAGCGTGGGCTGGTGCTGGGTGTGGGGGCTCTGGCAGAAGGGGAAGGTGCCGGGCTCAGCCCTGGCTGGTTCCCAGCAGGGTCTGTCGGGTCCATCCCCATCACACAGGTTAGCAGGGCACAGAGAATTTACAAAGCTTTGCTTCCCTCTCGAGCATTTGGCTCAGGAATTGAGTCTGTTTTTTGAGCACGTGGTTTCAAGTTGTGGTGATTTTTTGGAAGTTGTTCCCCTGCAGAGAGGGGAGGAGGAGAGGGGGCAGCTAAAGCCCCTGCAAACACTCAGGGTGATAATATACACGTGAACAGAGACAAAATACTTCCCCAAGAGCAGCCCTGTAGCTATCAGTGTTACTGACTAAGTTCTGGTTTTATTTCTCCACTGTAATGCTTGCGGCTTGCAATGGGTTTTATCTTGAAAAACTTCTATTTAATAGGGCTTTCAGAGATGAGCTGTCCTGGCTCAGTGCTCACTGCTCTTTCGCCTGCCTTGAAATAAACACCGCAAGCTATCTGAAAGGTCAGCTGGCTTTTCTGATGTTTCTGTAAATGTCTTTACAAAATGGCATTTTTTAAGAGCGGTTAAGTTCAGCTACAGCCTTTGGTAAACCACAAGTGAAACCGCTCGGACCGTGAGAGCTTGAGGGCAGCAGGGAAGGGAGCGATGGAGCCAGGATTTCCCTCTGCCCTGGTGGTGAGGGCACATCCCTATCTCTCCACATCTGGGGTCTCCGTGGTCTGCAGGCACCTCCTTCCCCGCTCTGCCGTGGCTGTCAGTGCAGTCACAGGTAATCCAGATTAATTCAGCGCAGCCAGCTGGCCTTTTGTCTGCGAACAACAGAGCTGCAGCGGGGAACAGGCCACGCTACCAAAGATAAATCAATAGGTGGGGGCAAGAGGAGGGCTGGTGGCTTCCGAGCCAGGAGAGATGCTCCCAAACTCCCTGCTTTGGCCTCGCTGCAGAGTTTGGGTACTCGTGCTCTCACGCGGAGCTGCAAAGCTGCACACAAACAGCCGCCTCTCCAGGAGCAGCTCCCAGCACCGACCTCCTGAAGTTTTGTCCCTGAAGATTATAGGGCAAGCAAGACAGTTTGGAACGTGGAGATTAGAGACTGAAGGTGGTCAGTAAGGATTGCCTGGTGTGAGACACCTGGCAGCCAGCTCCAGCCTTGTCATTGTCGGAGTCGCGGCCGACTGATGTGCCCACAACGAGCGTCCTAATTGGAAGAGACAGACTTTAGAGCAGAACTGAGCCAGCATGTTACTAAGGTAATGCAAACCCCATCTCAGATCCACACATCTTAGCAGCGTGTTATCCACTCCCTGAATAGCTCTGGGTGCCTGGAGCTGTCAATCTGAAGGAGCCCATTTCACTCAGTTAAAGGTACAGTTGCTTCACATCTTTTTAAAAAAAGAAATCAAAATAAGGATTTTTCTTCTCCTCTGCACAGTCTGCAGCATAGCAAATGTTAACTTAAAAAAAGAAATCAAAGATTAATTATTTTTCTCCCCAACGGAAGAGAGAGATTTTTAAAGTACATGATTAACTGTCTATTCAGATCCATCCTATATCCTGCTTAAATCTTACAGCTCTTTTAGCAGGAAAACCAAAATGCACAAAATCCGCATTTCAAAGCTTTATTTGAATCTATCTGCCCCTTCTTCCCAGCTCAGGAGACAGCAGGCGTGAATTCCATTTCTAATCTGTGTTAGGCCACCTGCAAAGAGGGGACGGGAACCCTACAGTTGCTCCAGCAAAAATGCAATTCTTCTTGTCAGCTGAATTATAAACCCCTTCCCTGCGCTGTCTACAGAATGCCAATTCCAACGGGAACGTCACTTTCTCAGAGCGATGCTGCTGCCAGACCGTTCTCCATGACCGATACGAAAAATTTGGGACAGTACTGGTATTTCTTCCCGATACCCGGAGACGGCACGCGTTTAACCGAGGAGCCTGCCTGCCCAGCTGCTCCTGCGGGGAGCAGGTCGGATGGAAGGAGGCACCGATGGGGTTTTAAGCAGCACGTTAACAAGTCTGCTGGTTTCCAGGGAAATCGAGAGCTGTCACCTCGCCGCAGCGGGGTCAGGGTCCTGCCCGGTGGGGGGACAGGACGGGCACCGGGTCCAGCAGGGACGTGCACATCCACCCGGCCCCGGTGTTGTCCAGAGGGATCTTCCCAGATCGGTTCCCAAACGAACCACGCGAGGTGGCTTCTAAGGACTAACGAGCTGAGAAAATACTAGGAGAAGAGCAAGGACCTGTTTGATTGTGATAATTGAACGTAAGGCTTTTATAATCTGTTGGTGTTTTCTTTAGACGCCCTCGCACCTGACACACCGGGGCACTCCGAGAGCCAAGAGGAGACGTGCCACAGCCCCGGCTGGAGGGGGCACGGGGAGCCCTGGCCTCCAGCTCTCGGTGCCACCGGGCCGGTGGCCAGCACATGCCCCAGTGTTGGCCACCAGCCGGGGGGACCCGAGGTCGGTCTGCAACAGGCGAAGGGGCCGCGGGGGGAGCCGCGGCCGGACCCCCCGGAGCCTGGAAGGGGCGAGGGGCTCTGAGAGGGGACCCCGCCGGGGCCGGGGCGGCGCGGCCGGGGCTCACCTTGGCCTGGAAGTGGATGCCGTGCTGAAAGGCCTCCTCGTTGTGCAGCGGGACGCGGGAGTCGCAGCCATCGTCCACCAGGTTGTACCGGTTCTTCACCGGCATGGCGGCGGGCGGGCGGCCGCCTCAGGCCGCGGCCCCCCCGGGCATCCCCGCCGGCAGCGCCCGGCCCCGCCGAGCCCCCCGGGGCGGGCAGGGGGACAGCGGGACGGGGCTGCCGGTGCCCGAGCCCGGCCGCGTTTTGAATGAGCGTCCACGGGTGCGAGCGGGGCCCCGGCCCCCGCCGCGGCGCCATTGGCCCCAAGTTGCCCCATGTGATGCGGCGGGAGCCCGCCCTGCCCGCGCCCGCCCCGCCTCGCCCGGCCCCGCCGCGCTCCCCGGGCCTGCCGGGGGAAGGCACCGCCTTCACGGGGCCGTGCCCGGCCGCCGCAGCGCCCGGCGCTCCCCCAGCGTCCGCCGCACCGGCTGCCGGAGCCTCGGGCCTGGTGGTGCCGGTGTGAGCCGGCCTGGGCCCCCTGGAAGGAGCAGAGCTCCGCCGGTCTGGAAGGGAGGTCCCACCTTGCCAAGTCTTCTCTGCGGGCTGGAGGAGAAGCACCTGAAGCGTGATGTTGATGTCTGGCTTGTGGAGGTTTTGTCATCCCACCTGTCTGGGGCTGGCCTGGCCTGATGGTGCCTTTTTTAATCCGTCACCTCCCAGGGCACAAAAATACCAAAATACAGTTCTCAGCTGTAAGCGGGTTGTGAGGAAGAGTCCCGAGCAGGTGTTGCGGCAGCGCGGTGCTCCTGGTGGCAGGTCTTACGGATGGTGTCTCATCTTAAATCAAACTGTTTGCTGTTTTGGATGGTGCAAGTCACACCGTGTCCCGTCAGCAGCACTCGCTCCACTTCCCATGTTAGAAAATCTAAAAAGATGGTGTACAGAATGGTAGGACGAGGGGGTATGGCTTTAAATTAAAAGAGGGAAGATTCAGACTAGATACACAAAAGAAATTTAGGCTAAGGGTGGTGAAATATTGCCCTGGTTCCCCAGAGAGGTGGTGGATGCCCCATCCCTGGAAACACTTGAGACCAGGTTGGACAGGGATTTGAGCAAGCAGGTCTGGTGGAGGTGTCCCTGCTCAAGGCAGGGGGTTGGACTAGATGGACCTTTAAAGGTCCCTTCCAATCCCAACTATTCTATGATTCTGTGACCTAGGACCTCACTGCAGCTCCCACAGGAAGACTGGAAAGCCAACACCATTATATATGTCCAATGTTAATGGGACTCGCAGCTCTGTTAGTAATTAGCACGTACCCCTGTCAGAATCCTGGGGCACAGTGGTGCCCACTGACTGACTCAATACATCCTGGTTCCCCAGAATTAATTTTTGAGTGATCAGTTATAACTTTTTGTCATACAAATAACTCCCCAGCAGGATATGTGGATGTTGTTGGACATCACTTTTTACGTGGTTTTCTCATTAGCAAGAGAGAAAATGTTGGCCATGGGCGGACAGCGCACAACTCCCTGTCTCCATCTCGGGAGCGTAATCATCCCCAGGTTCTTGGCATCTCTGAGGACTCCTAAGTCAGTGGGAAATGGGCAAGAGCCAAAAATCCAGAAACTTTATAATTAAGAGAGGGAGAAAGAGCCCAAAAAATTAATATTGGTTCATTGCCTGTGACCCTACATGTTCAAGTATTTTGTGGTATTAGCAGCTGGTTCTGGCACTGGTGCTGGGGTGGGCTTTGTGGTCAGCCTCCTGGCTTTGAGAAGTTCTTCAGTTTCCAGACAGGCTGTGTTTTTTTTTTTTTTTTTTTTTTTTTTCCCAAGTTATAACGTTGCATTACCTTCTTATTTAAATATTCACATGTTTATGCTAATCCCTCTAACTCACAATGGGTTTTGTTTCAGGTATGTAAATGCGTTAATTGGTTCCTGTCCAACATGCTACTCTAGATACACATCTCACCTGCACATTCATCAGTTTACTTCTTTGTTGGTGATTTTTTGTGTGGTGTTTATGCTGTTCTTTAGCGTGTACCTAGAATATTTCATGGAACTTTTCTTACCTTGTACGAATCTTGATTTCAAAAGTATCTGTTGACCTGGATGAATAACCTAGATTTTGTGTGCAGATGTCCCTGGACTGATTGAGCAAGACTCAGTCCTTTGGTTCTCCTAAGCCTGCAGAGGAGGAGATGCCACCCAGTCAGCCTCTGCTTGTGCTTCCTTTGATGCTAATGCCAGCAAAGCTCAACTAGTACGGGAAAAAAACCCCTACCACAGCCGCTACTGGTGAGTCTCTACATTGATTCTGCAATGCTGCATTTTAACTGAGGCGTGCATGAACCTGTCGTGGTGCTGAGCTGCTCAGAGTTCCTCCTCCTTACCCTCCCATCACCACAAGAACATTCCTATGTAAGTGGGAGTATATGGACTTCGCTTGGGATAGTTACTTTTTTTTTTAGTCTGATAGAAAGAATGAGATGAAATAACAATAGTGGTCTTTTTATTTCTGTCCTGGTGCTCTCCAGTATCCCGCAGATTATAAAATCCTTTGGGTAAAGGGATAGAAAAATCTCCTGGGAATCCTGGGAAAAATAAGGCAACTGTGATTTAATAAAGCTTACGGTGCCAGACTGTGTTAGATCACAATTGAATGGAGGTGTTTAATATTCCATGTTCATTAACTTCTGTGAACTTTTTGTGGGGCTTAGCTCTTCTAAGGTTAATGGTTTGGATCCGTGTTTAAGAACTGAGTTTGAAGGCTGCTAAACTTAAAAAGCTGTTAACTTTCTAGTTTGTTCGGCAAAGAAAATTCTTTGACTCCATTGCAAGTAAGAAAGCTGTATGCCCTTTTATTCTGGATAATAAAACCAGGCAAATATGTAGAATTAAACACTTACACAAGACATCGTCACGGATTTAGTCTAAACAAACCCCTACTAGCATTACCCCTTCTCGACGCCAACAGTTCGCCAAACTTCATAGTGGGTGTTTGCATCAGATGGAGGCACTGAGCTGGTTATTCCTTTGATGTGCAAAGCACACACAGAAAGTCCCATTTCTCTGAACACAGTAGGAGTGAAGCACCAACGACAGTTTCTTGGCTCGTAGCTTCAAGTTTTTTTGCAGAGAACAGGTTTCTATCAGCTTTCTTTTCCAGGCACAGGCTACCAATATTTCTTTCCTCCTTTTTCTCTCACGTGGATGCACATTTCTGAGTTGGCATTTATTCTGTGTGGAAATCTCTCTTCCTACATAGCTTGGTTTTTTGAAGAGACCTCAAATGTGGTGTAAATCGAGTAGTGGGTATTATATGCAGGGTGTTCTTTAATCACTTTGTCCGTTGGTGTGCAGGGAAGGTTGCTGTTGCTCCCGCCTGATCCTGTCAGGTTCCTTCCAAGCCCACCTTCACGGGCACAGGAATTCCAGCAGCACTGCACGCTTTCCAGTGACACCTGGACTTGATGCCAAGGAATTTTCCTTCCTTCTGCGAATGATTTTAAGCACGTATTTCTGCACAGCAGAGCTGCAAAGATGTTAAATGATAAATAAGATGTGACACAGCAGGAACAACCAGACAGACACCCAGCAATGGCAGACAGAACCTCTGTTACAGGAAATCACTTCAGTATCGTACCAGTAAGATCTGGGAGATCTGGGCATGTTTACTGCCTTAGCAGATCTGGTTGTGTCGTGCAACTTTATCAGCATTATTAATACCTGTTTGTGCTGGTGCAGTTTTTAGAGCAAGGTCTCCTGTGTACTCTCCTGCTAGCTGACGTGCAGCGTGCCAGTGGACATCCCTTTGAGATCTAGCAGCTGAGCTCACTTGCCATTCTTCAGGAGATGTGCATTTGCTTGAAAGCAGCACTTGTCTGTATATATTAAATAAAGTGGCAGAATGCCCAATTCATAGTTACTTGGAAACAGCAGATACTGCTGTAAAGTTTCATCAATTAAAACCAAAAGGACTTCATTGACTTACTGATGGCTTTATAGGGCAGAGATGAACACAGGTGAATCATCCGGGGCGTGCATCAAAGCAGTAAAACCTTCCACTAATTTCAATGACTTTGGATTTTATCTCAGTTATATATAAAAGTTATTTAAGAGTTTGGGAGTTGTCCTTATACATAAAACCAACAACCAGCTTCTGTCCCTTCCTCCAACAGAGCAGGACGAGCTGATGTGGGAATAGGGGAGGACAGAATATTATGGGAATAACATGCTCTGCTAGGGGAGGCAAAAGATTGTGTATTGCATTTGGATTTCCAAAATTTTAGCCACATTCGACTTCTCTTATAATTGTTTTCTTTACTCAAGGAAGCAAAATTAAGCAGTGTTACTACACAGCAAAATCTGTTGGCTTTTCTTGATATCTTGATCTCTTAAAAACAGTTGGTGATCAAAAGTTAAGACAGAGGCTGAAGGGGAACAGCATGAAACAGCCGTGAAACGTTGTCACGCAAACTACGGGTTTGGTCAGAGAGTTGTGTGTGTGCTTTTTCCTCTGGTGTTCTAGGAAGCTGTGCTTTTCTCTCGTGAAAAAAGAAAAAAGAAAAAAAGAGATCTGGAAGCAGAGAGAGGTAAAGATTTATATTCCCCACTATGTAACTGCCCAACCTTCACTTAAACGAATTGATCTTGAGCTTCAGATTAACAGAAAAAACGGGAACAAATCAGAAACCCCAACTATTGCCAAACCTGAACCTTTCTGCATAGGTAAATTATGAAAATAAAGATGGATGAAGTAGTTCAGAAATGTGTTTTGACCTGCAGTTCCTCTTGTTTGCTTTCCATCAGATAACTCTCTATCACTCATGATCACTAGGTGATAAACTCAAATCTTTGTTTAATCAAGTAAGCCTGGGGGCACCAACCATGTCCTATAAATGCTGCCGTGTGATGAAATACGGAGGCAAGAATGGATAAATTAGGTAGTGCTGACTGAAATTGTCTGGTGTTACCCTTTCTTGTTCTGGGGATTTGAAGAAAACAGAGAAAACTCACAGGCAAAATCTTTCAGTGAGTCTCTGAAGCTGCCACATGACATGAACTCAGACGTGACATGTGGAACTGTCATTGTTTCAGCCCCCTCAGCGTCACATGTGTCCCCTGCAAGTGCAGGGTCTGCTTGGTTAGATGATTATACCAGATTTGGGTTCTCAAGAAGAAACAGAAGCTTAATGTCTTGAAGGTTCAGCTTAGCAGCCCAGCCCGGCAATCTGCCCATTAGAATTGCAAGCTGCTTTCATGCATGGCCAGCTCCAAAGTCCTGTGCACCAGGACTCGGGAAGGAAAAATGTCAGCCACAATTATGCATATTTTCATCATCTTCTATCATGCAAATCCCCCCACCCCAAGTATGCAGCAAATGTTTTGTTTGCAGATGTAGGTCAGCCACAAATCTTCAGCAGCGTAATGTAAGCACTGGGAGCAGAGGTTGATGTATACAGATCTAAACCCAGTCGGAGGGATAACACCACCCCCAACATTTTCCAAGTGGAATCTGTTTACTAGTTATATTTTCTTCTGACTTTACATTTTATAAAGCATTGCTTTCTTACTGATTCAAAAAAATACAACTCACAGAGAATATTCCCCATCATTGCAAAAGGAGCTATTAACTTCAGACACGGATGGATAGTTCTTAATGAGTAACTATTTTTTTTTTAATAATAGCTTGAGGGATGTGTTCTTTTTTGAAATAGTACATTAAAGTATTTCTGCAAATAATTATTATTTTGCCACTGGCAGGAGGCCTGTTTTATATGATATTTTAGAAAGATTGTATGTTCTGTTTGCAAATTACATGCTACTTAATGTTTTCCTTGTCTTGGCTAGCTTTTTAAAAAGAAAAGTACAGAATAGTATACATTTATTGTCCTTATGATGCTAGATAAATACTAGAAATTTGGTTCCAGACTCAGCAACCAAAAAGCTTACTAGAAGTAGTCAAATTTATTATTTAAGAAAAATGTTACTTACTAAACTCATAAGCTTGATGTGTTTGCATGTCTGACTCATGATTTGTGTACGCCACGAGTTGGCAGTACAGCTCACCTCCAGTCTGAGCCGCCTGCGTCAGCACATTATCATGTGTGAAATTCAGACTGTTCAGTTTGCTGTCTGGGAAAGTGTCATTCTTAGAAATAGGTTTTCAGTGAGAATATTCCTGCAAATCCATGCAGAGCACCTGCTAACAGTGTTGAGGGAAACGGGCCCATCTCTGGAGTGATTCCCCAGTATGTCACCCCTCAGTGTCTGCGTCTGTAAAATTGCTTTGTTGCCAGACTCCCCCTTGGGTCTGACGGTTACCTGGGCACATACGGGAAGGTGTGTGTCTGCACACACAGACATCAGGCTACACATGTCATGGTGTAATAACCCAGTAAGTTATGATTTAGAGTAAATGAGAGTGAAGTTGTTAGGGGCCTAAGAGATGAGGAAAATACTGCACAGTCAAACAGTGGCTTTCCCCATGCCCATAAAATCAGACTAGCACCTCTGTTATATTCGGTCTCCTGAATCTAACTAATAAAGTACAGGGACATTACATTATGAGTCAGGTCAAGGCTCTTACAAGTCCAAAATACTGTGAGGTTGAAACTGAAGAATCTCTTGAAGGTATGAGATACTGTGCCAATAACTGTACATGTATACCCATACTGTGCCAAATTCCCTCCTGTGTAGGGGAGCACGCTTTGTTCTGTCCTGCCTACAGATGCCATCGCCACCGTGACACTGGAAGATGATTCAGAAAAAAAAATAAAATCACTGATATTTTTCCCAGCACAGTCTAACAGATGTACAGTTCTCCTAGACACAATACACATTCTTGTTCACTTGTTGTCACAAGAGAGTAACAATTTGTGCTTATCAACAACTCCCTCTGAGCAAGGATCTCAGGAAATAAACTTGTTTTTAAGAGCACACAATAACTTTAAATTTCCTCACTTCTCACAGGGGAGAGATGATCTGAAGTTTCATATTTTTTCTCTCCTGCTGCTAGATCCAGCTTGCAGCATTCCGTGGGATACACCCTCCTTCTGCATTACCTTGCTACCTCATTACTACTCAACCTATACTTTACTCCCCTACCTTGTGGTACCTGAACACCACATACAGCCTGACTTCACGCTGCACGCTACAGACCATCGCTATTTATCTCCACATGAAATGAAGGTTTTATCCCTGCAATACAGTGCAAACCAGGTATCTGATGTATTACAGCTTCTTTGGTAGAGAAACAACTAGTACGTTATTAGCCTTTAAGAAATATGGGTATATAATAATTAGATATAAAAACATTCCTCCTTTACAATCATTTTGTTTGGTATTTCCCATGCTCTGAAGCCTCTTAATGCCTTGGCCCATCGTAACTATTTCCCTGGCTTTCCTTCAGCATTGCTGACATTGGTGAGGATAAATCTCTAATAGTAAATAAAAAGTTCATCCAGGGGCCTGGCAATAAAATAAGAGACAGTCAGAGTCAGGTCCCTGTTTTAAATCCCACTCCAGTGGGCAGACACCAACATCTGGGGGTGGTCGGTGAGACAACCAGGATGTGCCCTTCAATGATGGACACAGAAAAGTCATCCCCCGGACAGATGAGCCCTGCCAAAGCTACAGCCCCCTCTGAGCTCCTACTGGCACAGGGAAACACTCACGAGTTTTTTAATTAAAAAGTGTCACAGTGGCAAAAAAATAATGCACATCATTTAATAGCAACGTGAGAGCAACCAAGAGCGAGCTATATGACCATAGCCTTCCTCATCACTTCACACGGTAAGACACAACACTATTTAATGAATTAATTCATTTGTTTGTTGCCTTCAAGGGTAAATGGCAGAAGATAGGTGATGCACTGAAAAAATATGGGTAGTGTTAGGAGTGCAGGTGAAGCTCTAGTTTGCTGTTGAAATACAACAATATCTTGGTGATTGAACTTTCTTCTTTATAAACTACTGTTGACTTGTGGAAAAAGGTCACAGAATCACAGCTCCTGGCACACTGTGTCTCGTGTCTCGGTTTCTATAAAATACTAGGGAGCATGTGAGGTTACAATGAGATAGTAATCCAGATGTTCCTAAAACCTGTTCTAGCAGGATCAAAGATACACATTCACATCTCCTCCTGGCCTGAGGAGTTCCACAGTCAGGAGCTTGGTCTTCATGGGATCTTTCTATTTTAACCTGCAGCTAAATTTAAGTCAAAACATTTTGCTGCACTTTAAGTAATTTTGCTCCCACTTAAATTATTTTCTCTGCTGACCTGTTTCAGTCCTGCTCCATATCAGGAGCACGACTCTAATAACATCTCCTTCACACAGAATCCCGATAATTCCTGCCTTTTTTCCCTCCTTCCCAAGTCTCTCCCATCTAACCCCAAGCCTCCTGCAGCCGGGCTGCATTTCCCGGGGCGCAGCGCCACCGCCTGCCCGCCCCGCGATGCTCAATTCCCTAAATCTCTGCTTTTGCTACTCTTTATAGACTACGGCCGGTTCAGTCGTACGTTCCCAATTTCATCACCTCTTAACTAATACCGCGAGGGATTCATGTAACTGCTGGTAAGCCTATTCACTCCGTTATTGACGTTGTAAAAGCGGTTTTTGTATTTTCTTCCTGTGTTTGACTCACTTGGGCAACATTAAGAGCGTGCTTAAAATCTGGATTAAAACAACTAGTGGCACAGTATTCACCTGAAACTGTGCAACGCTAAATAGACGATGGAAACACCCCCCTTGGGAGAGGTCTCCATCACCCTCGGGGGGTTTAGGGCCGAAGGGCCCTTCAGTCACTGCCACACGGACCTCTCGGAGCGAGGCCCAGGCACACACCACAGCACTGGCTTTCCAGGCGGCTTTTGATTAACCGTAATACAAGAAAATACAGAAACTAATCAAACCACGCAGCGGGCATCAGTCCGGGACTGCCAGTTGGTCATTACTGAGGAAGCTCCAGCGCTGGGCCGCGGTGCCGGTCCCGAGCAGGGCTCTGTCTCGGTGTGGCGGCACCGCGCCCCTCTGCCTCAAGGTGAAAAATCACTCCACCGCACGGTAAGGAATGGATTTAATATCTAAGACACGCGGGCAGGGGTTTCGGTGGCCAAAGACAACGGCTGCCAGACCTGTAGGAGCGCCCTGAGGCGATCGCCACCTACGGGGCAGAGACTTCCCTCCCGACGCCGCCCGCTTCCAAGATGGCGGCCGCGCCCCGCCCCGCGCCTTTCCGAAATGGCCTCCCCGGAAGAGGCCGGCGGCAACTGCCCGATCCCAAAATGGCCGCGGCGGCCACAGGACGTCATTGCCGGCGGGGGGCGGAGGGAAGCGGGGGTTCCCCCGCCTCACGGCGATTGGCCCCTCGCGCGCCCCGTCCTCCGCGCGGCTGTCATGGCAACGGGCGGGGAGCGGGGGCGGCGGCCGGGCCGAGGCAGCG